TGCTACTTCACATGGTATCTATTTTATTTTACATTTGTTAAGTTTAAAGAAAAACATCGATTGTACGTTTTTTTTTTTAATATATAAAAAAAAAACTTGCCATGCACTCATTTTGACATTTATAAGGTCCTTTTAAAGTTATTGCTTCTAATGAACATGGTTCCCCACAATAATGCATTTCTGAGTCACATTTATGTGTCTCATTTCCTTTCATATTTTCATGCCCAATGTCTTTTGTACATAAACCTTGGCAATTTTTTTTTCCAGAATGAACTACACGCGTGAGAAACTTCACATCTATGTTTTCCTTGATGTGCAGCAAAGTGTACACAATCTGGGATAATTCCATCAGGATGTGCTTCTTTGAATTCACATTCATGATGACATTTATGATCTGTTTGGCAATCATGGCTTGCATCATTTGGGTTATCATCATGTCGACTAGCTTTGAGACAAGACAACCCACAATTATCACATTTAAGACGACAAACATTCCAGAATAAATTAAGTCGATTAATTTCACGCTCAAGTGCATAGTTTGTAATAACGATTTCGTTATGTTCTTTAGAGAATTTTGCAAGATTATTTTCGAACCATTCGTTTACCCTTCTAATTCGACGATCAATAATAAATTTAAAAAACTTATCCAAATAATTCACCCATTCAGAGTCTGGAATTGATCCACGAGGATAAACATTTTCCTCGAAAAATTTCCTTAAGCCTAAACGAAAAAATATATACAAAATACTTGTTAATTATGAGTCATACACTCATAATAAATCTTTAGTACCAATTTGATTGTGTTTTGCATTATTTAAATTCAGGCTCGATAATCCATCTCGCTAATAATCAAATACAAAATATTGAATCAAATTGATCTGTCTTTTAGATTACATACTGGACGAAATTTCAACAAACTTTCCCTTCTCTTCGAATAATAAAAGTCCAGCATCATGCTCTATTTTGGTCGAGTTGTTAATGTGATCGAAAATTTCAGAGAGGAAAACATCATTGTCAGGAATAGAAGTCCCATCATTGTCTTGGTTCAACTTTCGATGGATCTGCCATGGTTAGTTTGTCTATTTTTTCATATGTCGCGTCTGAAGTTACCACCTATTTGAAGTTGCAACTTCAGATAGGTGGCAACTTCAAATGCTACATATATCTATTTCTTGTGAACTAATTTTAAACACATTTTTAGCGTTGCACGGAAGGTGTATGGATGTCATTAGGTAAGTTCTCATGCGGTTAGCTTCTTAAATTAAATGAATAGTATACATGGCTAAATTCCTATTATTTAAAACAGTAAAGATAGATGAAATTCTTTATGTGGCACTTGATTTTGAAGGTAAAATTAATACTTTGTATATGTAGAAATTTTTCCTTGATGATCATAAATAAGAATATATTTTTATAGGATTGGCAAGCATTGAAAGATCACCGCAAGAAGAAACATTTTTACAACTTTTGAACGCAGCACTTTCAAACCTTGTACTTTTTAAAAGTCAATTTGTAGTCAGTCGAGACGTTT